CTGGTTGTTGATTATCAATAAACTAGGGGCGGTCGAAATGTTCTAGGGGAGCAGTATATATATATATATATAGTTTCTGGAATTGGTATTGACGTCTTGGTTTGTCTCACCTATGGCAGGCGTTCTGTGCACGAAGTAGCTAAAGATTCTATCAGCTACTCCTAAAGCAGCTTGAATAGTCAGTCCTAGATTCCAAAAATTCATTTTATTCTTTAATTAATTTTTTTATAAATTTTGATTTGGGTTATCCAATTTTGTTCCAGTGAGATAGGGCAAACAGGTTGTATCTTCTGGATTTTTTTGGGTCAGAGTAGATTTCAAGTACAGCTTACAGTCTCATCTGTACCTGCTGAGAGTTTCCGCATTGTATAAAGGAAACATTTTTCTAAAAGTCCTTTTATTGGTGTTGACATCAATTTTTTTGTATGTATATTATGAATAGAACTTACTGTAAATTTGCTGAGCATTGATGAAAAAGCCATTTGCTGTTTTTTTTTTTTTTTTTTTTGTTGCTTTCACTCTGAGCATGTATTTTGATTTTTGTGTACAAGCAAGATGATTTCGTGATGTAAACCCCCCAACAATTTCTATTGTACAACTGATTGTGCGACACAACCAAATGAGCCAATGAGGGTGGTTAGCCATACAGCTCGTGAATAGCTTAGAAAGGTTACACTCCATGTTGCAATTTACACGGTACTCTTACAATTCTTCTACTTTCCATTGATTTTTTCTAATCAAATTTAGAGGATTAATAAGGTATGTTTCCTTGATAACCCCATAGAAATAGAATGCAATGTATGACCAATACACAAGACTTGTTAGACTTCCCTTTCATAGACCCCCACTGTGACAAATTTAAGAGACTTTATTGGCAGTAAATTTGGAAGAACAAATTTGTTATGAAGTAATTACTTTTCAAAATTGCACGACCCAAAACAAAATTTTGATCGATTTCAACTTAAAAATAATATTAATTGATTTGGCTAATTAATAGCATATATTTCTGAAGATTTCATCGAATTAATGACTCATTTTTTATTATATGCATACATATGGTCCAAATCATGCTGACCTAAATCCGAACGACCCATTTGCCACCTCTACTTATATTTATTATTTTTTTTTATAGACAACATAGTACAAGTAGACAATCCAATTTGCGCAATGAATCGGTAATTCATCGTTCCTTGAAAAGTTGAAATAAGAGAAGGTTAGAATTTTCAAATCTTAAATATATTCCTAAAGCATCTTACTATCCCTTGTTAGATATAGGCTCAGCATAGCACAAAGAAAGTCACTTAAAGTACAAAATTTAGCAGTCTTTCAATTCCAAGAAAAAAAAAATGATGTATTTTTAGCTGCAATTTTGAAAATTTGTAAATAACTCCCATAAGGAATCAAATTATTATTTTAAGCTCCATTTTCCTGCTTAGGATCTTCATTAAAGAATCTCTTCCACACAGGATGCTTCTTCCAAACTCGATCAGCAACAGCATCGATTGGGACACCTTTAGTCTCAGGCAAGATGAACACGACGAAAAAGCCCATGACAACAATCCACCCAGAGAAGAAGAGGAAGATATAAGCTCTCATGTGACAAAGCATTGATAAAAAGGCTTGAGCAATTAGGAAGGTGAACATCATGTTGGAACTCACAGCAAACGCGAAGCCTGCTGTCCTGGTTTCAATAGGGAAGGTTTCGCTTGGTATAAGCCAGCCTAGAGGACCCCATGACCATGCAAAGGACATCACAAACAAGCATGTTAGTATCACTACTAGGACTGCTGCTCCCTTTGGCAATGTATTGGTGTCTGTTAACTTCAGTATCAGTATTATTCCGATTGCAGTCTGCATCCAACCACAATCAATTCAATTTTGTTAGAATCAAACGTACTAAGGCCCTGTTCACTTCAACAGAAAACCATTTTTTTTCTTCTAAATGCTAGTCAAATTTGGTCCGTAGATATCAATTGTAATGAATTAAATACATCAATAACTGAGTATGACAAAAGAAAAACTTGTTAGGAGTAATTAGTAAATATTGATTGGTTTAGAATAAGTAAAAACAAGTTACAATCAACGAAATTAAGAAAGCATAACAATTAAAATGCAAAAATTAAGTATGCAACTTAGGTGAACAAGTGATGCACGCAAATTAGGCTCAACTCTGGCTATGTTCGGCAAAAGTAGTTGTTATAATAGCTGTTAGGAAAAAGTTGTGAAACAAGTGAATTATAACTAGTCAAAGGAACTAAATAAAAGTGCTGAGAATAATGAAAGTACCTGGCTAACAAACATTTGAACACAAGCTTGAAGTAGCAATATCCTTCTTCCAAACTTGTCGACTCCATAAACCGAAACCAAGGTACTAAACACATTAACAAGGCCAATAATCACAGCAGAAAGAAGTGATCCATTACTCTTAAACCCTACAGTTTGAAACAAAATAGGAGCATAAAACATGACTGCATTAATCCCAGTCATTTGCTGAAAAACTTGCATCAGAATCCCAATAACAAGAGGAGGTACACTTTGCTTCTTCCTTAATTCCTTGTAAGGGTGCTTCACTAACTTAGCCTGATCACATGCCTCCCTTATCTGTTGAAGCTCGGCCTCAACTTCGTCGACCCCCCTTATTTTCCTTAGCACTTTCCGGCCTTCATCAATCCGGTCTCTCTCGATTAAGCTTGTAGGAGTTTCGGTGATGATGATCCCGCCAATCAGCAGTAGAACAGCAGGAATTATTGCTAATCCAAGGGATATTCTCCATCCTATAGGGTGTAATCTTAAGGTTGCAAAGTTGACAAGGTTAGCAGTAAGTATACCAACTGTGACTAGGAGTTGGAAAAGAATGTTTACTGCTCCTCTGTGTTGCATTGGCGCTATTTCGGATAAAAACAACGGCACTGCCTGCACAATTACCAAAATAGTACTCAATATTAGATTATCGACGTACAAAGTCATAAAGGGCAGTGATGTAATCTGGATTTGATGCGTGTCATGTATGGAATAAGGCCAAGCTCAATAATTTACCATCTAAGCTAGCTGACATCAACAATATATTCATCAAATATAATTAAACTCACCTCATCGACAGTCGCAAATAAAGGACTGTGATGTAAACTGAATTTAATGCATGTCATGTACGGAATAAGGCTCAATAGTTTACCGGTTAAGTTAGCTGACATCGACAGTATATTCATCAAATATAATTAACCTCACCTCATTACCAAAACCGACGCCAACGCCCATGAAAACTCGGCCAATGATGACCATCCAAAGACGCTGAGATAGTGCACTGAATGCAGAACCCACCAAGAAAAACACAGCAGAAATCAAAATGGTAGGCTTTCTCCCTTTAAGTGAGCAAACTTTTGATGCCAGAAAACTTGAAACAAGTGCTGATAAATACAATGATGATGTAAATAACTGAAGATATTGATTATCAAATTTGCAGTAGTTGTTTTCATGTGCATGTTGCTTTCTTTGGTACACTTTTGGGAAGAATTCTTTCAAGAAATCATCCATTCCTGTCACTCCACCTGCATTTATATAGATAATGATAATAATAATCAATTTACACTTAATTAATGTTAAATCCAAGATTAATCAGTTTGTTACTAGTGATCAAAAAATTTAATTTCTTATTTTACAATCTATTAACTAATTAAAATTCACAATCATTGTAAAAAGAATGAGCATGTTATACTAATTGTAGCATAATAAGTCTACCCATCTGAAAACTCAACCGGCAATTACTTGCATAATGACCTAGAAATCTAAAATACAATTTTTTCACTCAAAATTAGAAATATAACACGTAAAATTAACAAGATAATAGATTAATTTTACCCCAAATCGAACATATATATTGCTAAACTTAATTTTACCCAACCCTACACAAAATTTACCTACCAATTTGAAAAGTTTACGTATTAGCAATTACTCACACACACACACACACAAAAAAAAAAAAAAAAAAAAAAAAAAAAAAAAAAAAAAAAACTAACTACTCGTACTAAACTAAAGGTCATACATTTCTAGCATCCATGATTTTAATAATAATAAATTGAACAAAGTAACAATTTTAGGGTTTTACTAGTTTTACCTGAAATGCCGATATCATAACCAAACATGAGGCCTCCACAAGCTGCTAGTAACCAGCAAGTTATAACGTATGGAGTTATTTTCCCTGGAAAATGATCAAGTTTATTTGTTGTACCCATTTTTTCTTTAGGGTGAAGATTTCGCCGAAAGCAATTTTTATGCTAATAACAATGAGCAATATATATTATCAGAGGACAATTGCCTCGGATATGATAAATGGAAGAAATACTTATTTTTTTCACTGGATGAGAGGTCGTAACTCATAACCCTAGTACCCTACAATGTGTGATATCTATATATATACGGGAAGATTCCGCTGAAAACAAGACTTACGGTGAAAATTAAAAACAGAGAATCTCAACCATCCATTATTACTAACAAGATCTAACGGTTTAAAAGCCAAATAATCTTTTCAACTTTCCCTTATACATACCCAGGTCAATGGTTTAGCGGTAACAACATACAAAAATACACAACTTTATCATATTTGACAATATTTACGTAAAGGAAACTATTTATAAAAATAATGTAACTTTATTAATTTTGACAACATATACACAAAAGTCATTATATTAAAAAATGAAGTAACTATATCAAGTTGATAACATATACATTGAGGTCACTAAATACAAAAATAAGGTAACTATATCAATTTTTACAATATTTACCTAGAGGTCACTATATAAAAAATTAGGGTAATTATTTATATTTTGACCACATGTACATAAAGGTCACTATATACAAAATTAAGGTAATAATATCAATTTTGATCACATTTATACAGAGGCCACTATATATAAAAATAACGAATGTCAATATATATAAAAAAAAAATAAGGTAATTATATCAATTTTAACAACATTGACCACATCACTACTAGAAAACGGGCCTTTAGTATCAAAAATTTTAGAATCAGTAATTATTATTGACACTAAAAATGTCAATGATATCAGTTATTTTTTTTTTTTTCTGACACTACTTCTATGGTTTGGACGATAGGCTAGTATTAGACTTTATTATAGTGTCGGAAAAATATTGATCTAATACAAATGACAACATAGTATCAGAAATGTTCCGACACTATAGGATTTTTATTATCGAAATTAATTTGATACAATAAAATATTTATAGTAACAAAAAGTTCCGACACTAATAAGCTTTTTACCATCAAAATTAATTCTGATACAATTAGATACTTATAGTAACAAAAATTTCTGATACTAAATCACATTATGAATATCTTAGAAAAAAATTGGCGCTTTCACAAAAAAGAAAATAAAAATATGGCGCTGGCGCCACATTAAAATATTAGAGAATTTTGAAACCATTTTCATTTCTAAAAATTCACCTTAGTAATATAACCAAAACCAAGCCCAAAAGAAAAGTCCTTCCTTTTCTCATTTCATCAGTAAAAACAACAAAGAACACTCTTATTATCTCTCCTTATTCTATTTCACGGAGCTAGGGTTCTAAAAAAATCTGCTCAAATTTACAAAAATTATCACTCATCTACTCAAATTTACAAAAAAAAATCACATATTACGCTCGAAGTTGTTGCTCATTTATAAAATAATACAAAATTGAACCTCCTATTGTTCTCTAATGGTTGCGCATCAAGTGGGATCTGCTGCCGTTGAAATTCTCTAGCGGTTTTTATTTTGTAAGTTCATAGCACTAATCTTTGAATTTCATTTATTTTAAGCTTAATTTGTCAAAAAATGTTGATTTAAATGTTAAAAAAAATTAAGGATTTTATCTGAACTTGTTTGGTCATAAATTAGTGAGTATTTAAATGGTCAGAATTAATTTGGTATCAATATTTCAAAGGATTTTGTCAAAATTGTTAAGAATCTAGTTGGTCTGAAATTATATAGTAAAAAAAATTCGAAAGATTGTGCGATGGTGTTTGTTTGTGCGATGGGTTTTGTGCGATGGGTTATGCTCTATTAGGCATAAGAGCAGCGTTTGATGCAAGTTTCAGGAAGTTGGAGGTCTCCTGTGATTGCCTCCATTTGATTGGTTGTGACAGATATTATGAATTTTGCTCGTTGTTTTGATTTTGTTTGCTTCTCTTTTTGTCCTAGATTATGTAACAAAGTGGCACACTCCATGGCTAATCTTTCCCTATATCTTAGTGAGGAAAGGTTCTGGATGGAGGATTGCCCTGCTTCTGTTTTTCCCCTTGTTGATTCCGACAAGGTAGCTTTGATTAATGAATAAATCACCTATGGTTTGCCTGTCAAAAAACCAAAAAAGATGAAAGTTTTACTAATGGGCCTACTACTCTGTAATTGCTTTTTAACTTCATTGTTAAGGGCACAAAATCCGTTCAAAATTTGACTAATTTTAGAGTAACATCAAAAAATTTGTCTCTATACTTTTGTATTGGTGATTTGGGTTCTCATTTTTTCCCTATTGGGAAGTTCTTGCCTTTGATCTATAATCTTGAATTTCTATTGATTTTATGATAATATGGAGTAGCAAATTTTAATTAAAATAATGTAGTTTAAACAGCCACTAAATCTAAATTAAATTGAAACAAACTAGCTAATTTAAAACTACTTTGATGATTATGGGTAAATTAAGCCCAAGAATTGTGACATTAAATTTTCTTCAAGTGTATATAACAAGCTAGGCTTAAGATATTCTACATCACTAAGGGTTTTTTTTTATTATTTTTATTATTTTTATGAATGAAAGAATGACATGTCTTTATTACTTGCGCTATTCTTTTTTTCTTTTTTTTTTCTCTTTTTTTTATCTACAAAATTGTTATTGTTTTTTATAAGCTTTCTTGATAATACAGATGAACTTTTTCTTTGTTTATTTGTTTAAAAGATTATGCATCTTTGATGACGGTTATAACTTTCTTCTATTTTATATTGATTTAATGTTCATTGATGTTGTAACAATGTAACAGGTAAATAAGTACTATACGTAGACAAATTGAGGTACGTTAGGATTTTCAAAAAGGGAAATTATCAAGGTACTTCTATTGGTATTGCTTGTTCTTGTTGTTATGATAGTTATTGGTAATTTTTGTATATATTATATGGTGATTTGTGTTTATATGATTTCATCATCATTATTATGTTTTCCATGTGATTGTTTTTTCAATATTATTAAACTTGAAACTACGTGTAATTGATTTTATTTGTTTACTTTAAAGTTATAACTCGAGTTTGAAAATAATTGTATTCATTTTTTATTTTATTTATTTATTTATTTATTTTTGTATTATATGAATATTAATACTGAGTTTTAGTAACTTATATTGATTATTACCTTAATATTGCTCCTGAATAGGATTTGATAGAAGTAACTTATTAATTTTATGGATACGAGAAAAGGTTGGGTATATATGCCAAGAAATGGTCCTTAATATAGGGAAGGAGTAAATAATTTCATACAATCTTCCCTTAATACTTCAGCCTTTAATGGGAGGATTAAATGTCCATGTATGTAAGAGATATGCTGTCACTATGCTTGATCCTAAAGATGTTCGTGAGAATTTATTTTGTGTGGGTTTTGATAAAAATTATGCTAATAGTATTTGGGTGTTTCATGGGGAAGAACCTTCACCATCTAAAGTAGAGGATGATGTTTTAAGTGATGAGGAGTCTAATGATGGGGTTGATGATATGTATAGATTACTTCATGATGCTTTTGGATTTCCTAGTTCAAAAAATAACCTAGATGACTTTCCACAAGTTGGTGAGGCAGAGATGAATTTAGAAGTTCAAAATTTTCACCAGCTTATGCAAGATGCTAAAATAGAATTATATCCTGGTTGTGATAAATTCACTAATTTGTCATTCATTCTTCGACTTCATCAAATGAAATGTTTGTATCGGTGGAGTGATACATTAGTCAATCATATGCTGCAATAATTAAATGATGTTCTTCCTAATGGATCAAACTTGCCAAAAAATTTATACCAAATGAAGAAGATCATGGTTGATTTAGGTTTAGGATATACTAAAATTGATGCATGTCCTAATGATTGCATGTTATATTGGAAAGTGAAAGTTAATGATGAAAAATGCAGTGTATGTGATGTATTAAGATGGAAAGATCCATTAATTGGAAAGAAAAGTGGTCCAGCAAAGGTGCTTCGACATTTTCCACTAATAACATTTAAAACATCTTTTTATGTCACGTAAAAAATCTAAGTTAATGAGATGGCATAAAAAGGGACATAGTTAAGATGGGAAACAAAGGCACCCTATTGATTCCTTAGCGTGGAAGAATTTAGATGAAAATTATCCAGAGTTTGCTCGAGATGCTAGATATCTTAGACTTGGTTTGGCTAGTGATGGTTTCAATCCATTTAGTAATATGAGCACTAATCATAGTACTTGGCCTGTTGTGCTTATGGTGTATAATTCGCCACCTTGGTTATGCATGAAAGATTCATATTTTATAATGTCTCTCCTTATTTCTGGTCCTAAGGCTCCTAGTAATGACATTGATGTTTATTTACAACCGCTAATTGATGAGCTAATGGAATTATGGAATGGTGTAAAGACTTATGATGCATTAACCAATGATACTTTCATATTGCGTGTTGCTTTGTTGTGGACAATAAATGATTTTCCTGCCTATGGTAACCTCTCGGGGTGGAAAACAAAAGGTTACTTGGCTTGTCCTTATTGTAATGTTGATACATGTTCTCATTATTTAAAAAAAAAGTAAGAAGTTGTGTTACATGGGACATCGTTGTCTCCTTGATCAAAATCATCCATTTCGAAGATGTGTGGCTGCAGTCAATGGTAAAGTTGAAGAGAGACCACCTCCAGAAATACGATCAGGGGCTGATTTGCTTTATCAAATGCGAAAGATCAAAGTAACTTTTGGAAAGCATAATAAGATGTCTAAGTGTCGTAAGAGAAAAAGAAAAGGGACTAAAAAGAAAAGCAAAGAGGGAATTGGCTAGAAGAAGGTAAGTATATTTTTCACATTGTCGTACTGGAAAGACCATTTGATTAGGCACAACATAGATGTCATGCACACAGAGAAAAATGTGTGTGAATCTCTACTTGGGACTTTGTTGGATATTGAGGGGAAAAGTAAAGACACTTTAGCAGCCCGCTTTGATCTTCAAGACATGAAGATTAGGCCTAAACAACATCCTATGAAAGTAAGAGAGAAATATGAAAAGCCAAAAGCACCATTTCATATGGATACAAAGGCCAAGGAAATTTTTTGTAAAGTTTTATCATCAGTTAAATGCATCTAATATAGCTCGTCGTGTTGATGTGAAGAATGGGAAAGTATTTGGCTTAAAAAGTCATGACTATCACATTATTATGCAACAATTGCTGCCTTTAGCTGTTAGAAAAGCGTTGCCTAGAGAAATAAGTGCAATCTTGATTAAGGTCAGCAACTTTTTAAAGGAATTGTGCTCTAAGGATGCTTCCTTCGATGATTTTGAGAAATTAGAGCAAAGTGTAATTGTGACACTTTGTCGCCTAGAAAGGATTTTTCCTCCATCTTTCTTTGACATTATGGTACACTTGGTGATTCATTTATCATATGAAGCGGCCATTGTCGATCCAGTCCAATTTCAATGGATGTATCCAATTGAGAGGTATGATTTAATATAATCTTTAGTCATAAATATCCTTATAAAAAACACTTTTAGTGATTTGCTTTTTTATTTTTTTAAATATGAAATTGCAGGTTTTTGTTCAAGCTAAAATCTTTTGTGCATAATAAAGCAAAACCAGAAGGTTCCATAGCCGAGGCATTCATTGCTCATGAATGAATGACCTTCTGTGCTCAATACATGCAAGAAGTTGAATCCAGAAATAGTAAATTCACTTCTGATTGCGAATGCAAAGGGTTGTCTATCTTTTCAAATATGAGTGAAGTTTTAGGATATGAGGAGAATATTCATTTGAGTCATTATCAATGGATCCAAGCACATGAATATGTCTTGTTCAATTGCGACGAGGTTACAAAATATTTAGAGTAAGATGCTCAAAATCTGCTCTGTTTTTATTTTTATTTTCTTTTAACCTCAATTAGCACCTACTAAATTTAGTGTTATTTTTATAATGTAGAGAGTATAAGAAGCTTCTTAGGCAACAACATTTGCATATACAACTATCAGACCTTGAAAAGCTCCACAAAGAAACATTTGTGAAATGGTTTCAAGCTAATGTATGTGTTTAATGCAAGAAATTATTACATATATATGTTATTTATTTTATTTATTTATCTATCAAAACAGCATAACATTTTTTTTGACATAGGGTAAATGCTTGTGCCAAGAGGAAGATGAGCAAATTAGTGAAGATCTTCGGAGGCTAAGCAAGGGTCCAAGTAGTTTGGTAAGAAAATGAAAAAATTTGTGTGTAATGGATTCAACTATTGTACAAAAGATGTTGAGAAAAATTCCCCTACTCAAAATAGTGGGATAGGTGTTTAATTTATGGAGAAGGGGGTGTAATATATTATGGCATGTTAAGGGAAATTATAGAATTAAATTATTACGAAGGAAGAAGAGTAATGATATACACGTTTTATACATAGATTTATCCCGATATTACATCACATTCTTGCATGGTTTTAGGCTCTTTAGGGTGTGTGGCAGCGACCGATACAAGCAGACTTCCAAAGGTAGCCTAGTGCCTTTGAATGTTCTGTTTTATTTCCCGATCACACCTAGGTTGCAAAGACTGTTTGCAACCAAGAACATTTCGGAGGAAATGACATGGCATTCGAAAAATCCCCGAGTTCAAGGCACAATGGCACACCCTAATGATAGTGAAGCTTGGAAACACCTCGACAGTCGCTTTCCAGAGTTTGCTTTCGAGCCTCGTAATGTGAGACTTAGCTTGTGTACCAATTGGTTTTGCTCCTCATGGTAAGTTTGGGGGACAATATTCTTGTTGGCCTGTCATTTTGACCCCTTATAACCTGCCTCCCTCAATGCGTATGAAAAAAAAATTCATGTTCCTTTCGTTGCTCGTTCCTGGTCCTAAAAACCCTAAGGGCAACTTGGATGTCTACATGCAACCGTTGATAGAGGAGTTGAAACTGTTGTGGGAAGTTGGCACGGCTACTTACGATATTTCGATGAAACAAAATTTCAATCTTCGAGCAGCCATCCTATGGACCGTTAGTGACTTCTCGGCTTATGGCATGTTGTTTGGTTGGGCCACAACTGGTAAGAAAGCTTGTCCACATTGCATGGAGAAGAGCAAAGCATTTTGGCTCGAACATGGTGGTAAAGTTTCTTGGTTTGATTACCACCGGCAATTCCTTCCGACAGATCACCCTTTTCGAAATAGTAAAACTGCATTCTGTAAAAACAAAGTAGAGAAAGGTGCCCCTCCACACATCATGTCAGGAGAGGAGCTGTGGGAATGTGTTAAGGACCTTCCGAAGGCTACAGATGGACCCGATTCAATTAAACGGATAAAAAAGGAAAAGAAGGGGTGGTTCAAGCAAATCACACTGTGGGAGCTCCCATATTGGAAGCATCTCCTCTTTTGTCACAACTTAGATGTCATGCACATTGAGAAGAACTTCTTTGATTAGTTAATTCACACTGTAATGGATGTGAAAAAGCATACGTGTGACACGCCATCAGCTCGGAATGACATTGTCAGATATTGTAAACATCCCCAGCTTCATCTTCAGGAGGATGATAGAGGAAAAGAGGTCATGCCAAAGCCTCCATTCACTCTTGACAAGGCTCAGAGAAAAGTTTTGTGTGAGTAGGTTAAACAGTTGCGATTTCCTGATGGTTACGCCTCCAATTTGAACAAATGCATAGATTTGCAAGCATGTAAGCTCCACAGAATGAAAAGCCATGACTTTCACGTGTTCATAGAGAGGATGTTGCCCACTGCTTTGAGGGAATTGCTCCCCGACCATATTTGGAATGCAATTACAGAGATCAGCCAATTCTTCCGCGACTTGTGTTGCTATACAACATCAGTTAGTGACATGGAGCGATTGGAGAAAAACATAGCTGAGATCCTCTGCAAGCTTGAGAAGGTCTTCCCTCCTGCATTCTTTAACTCCATGGAGCATTTGCCTATACATTTTCCGTATAAGGGGAAGTTATGTGGTCCTGTACAATACAGATGGATGTATCCCTTCGAAAGGTAAATCAAAGACCCTTATTTCACATCCTTTGTTTTACATCCTAATCACTTACTCATACAGTTACATAACTATAATTGCAGGTTCCTCAATCATTTGAAACGGAAAATTGGGAACAAGGCTCGAGTTGAAGGGTCCATATGCAATGCTTATCTCACTGAAGAGATAGAAAACTTCTGCTCCTATTACTTTCAGTCGACAGTTGACACTAAAACTCGAGATCTTGGTCAAAATGTGAATGCCGACGTCGAGTCCACATTAGACGACACTGAAATACCAGAGTTGTTCAATAAGGATAGTGGTCGTGTGTCAAATAATGGTAAAACTCGGTTCTTAGATGACAAAGAACTTGAGTGTGCACGTTTGTTCGTGTTACGAAACACCGGTATTCTTGGCGAATACAAAAGGTATATTAGGTTTAGGTATTCAGTGTATTCGTATTTACGAACAATTACAATGATGACTTTGTATATTTACATTGTGTCTTTGGCCTCGTAGGAAGTTTGAGGACTACATTCTTAGTACTCGACCTTTCTTGCGTAGAGAAGAAGTCATGGAGAATTTCGAAGCTGAATTCTCTGATTGGTTTCATCACAAGGTGATATACGCGGTCTATTCGTGAAATAATTATGAATTTAACATCTTGCATTTCAATTCATTCAATTCATGAACCGTGATGTTGATATTCAACAACTTTATAGGTGGTCGAAGAGAAGCCAAATTCGGATGTCCTGCGAGCGTTGTGCATGCGTTCCTTCAGGCGAGTTTGTACTTGGGGCCAGATTTTTGTCGGTGGATTTAATTTCCATACACATGCCCATGGCAAGCACAAATCCACCATGAATTATGGTGTGTGTGTATCAAGTGAGGATGGCGGAGAGTACTTCGGCATTTTAGACGACATAATTGAACTTGTCTACACGGGACCCAAAAAACAGTACAAGACAATTTTGTTTAAGTGCAATTTGATGGATTGTGGTAGGGGAATGAACCTACATGAACAATACAAGCTAATCGAAGTAAATCATACTAAGAAATACCCCAAGTATGATCCATTTGTCTTATCTTACCAAGTGACTCAAGTGTACTATGCATCATACCCTAGCCTGAAACGAGATCGAGTTCAATGGTGGTTTGTGTTTAAAACACAAGCAAGGTCAGTGGTTGATGCTCCGGTGGACTTAGAGTTTTTGCAATCACCATCCCCAACAGTACATGCAACGCTTTGCCCACCGAATGACATTCCAGACTACGCCAGAGATGATGATGATGAAGACGATGACGATGGCTTTGTGATCTCAAGCGATGAAGACGATGAATCTAGTATCGGCTCTAGTGATAGTGACGATGATGATGACATCGATATAGTATTAGATGATAGTAGTGATGACTCTAGTAGTGAAAGTAGTAATGAGATTACTGAGTAGGAGAATATGTTAATCTCCTTTAACAGTATGCTTCCTATTGTAAAATAAAAATATTAATTAGGCTTATGTAAAACTTTTACTGTTAGTATAAAAGCCATATTACATTGCACTGCACTTGTTATTTATAATATCTTGTCATGTTACTAACATCTATTTCAGGTAGTCATGGCGGGTGGAAAAAGTGAACAATCGTCGAAGGAAGCAAGGGGGAAAGAGAAAATGGCCGCCCTTTTCAACGACGACTAGGATGATGACATGATCGATGCAGAGGCACACGATTTGGGTGCCGATCAAACGCCCCCATCCACTCCTCCAGATGATCAGACACAGGATCAGTCAGAGCTACCGGTTTTGGACCCTACTACGTTCTGGTACGTACATATCATGATATGGAGGATGAGATACAAGGCTTATATTACTATTTTTGAACTTGTTTAACATTGTTGTTTCTCATTTATTGTAGGTTTGATGATCCTAAGGTTCGGAGTGCGTTATCCGGTACGATTACTGGATACTACCGAGCCCCTAAGAGGAACTTTGGAGAAGTTCCTGAAGCTACGAAGGAACACTGGTGGAACTTGTTCAGCGTATGATATTTTTTGGTCTTGGTTAATACATGTTTTAGTTATTGTATTGATTTAATTTTGTTTATCACTTTTATATTTTATTATTGCAGGCACAATTCAGATGGGCACCTCAGATGAACGAGCAAGTGAAGCTTGCATTTTGGAGGAGGGCAGCAACACACCTACGTGACATGTTCCACACCATCACGCACAAGATGAATGGCGCCAAGCCAAGTTGGCTGAGTGAGGAGATCCACAAGAAGATGTTGGACATTGTTGCCACGGATCCAACTTACGAGGCGAATTCGGCGCAAAACAAAAAGAACAGAAGGGGCGTTCTATGGAAAATCCCGTCCAAGGAACCCACTTTCAGGGTTCGTTGTCGGCTTTCCAACATGCAATAAGGATGGTAAGTTTGTTTATAAAGATCTTATATTAGAAGGCATTTTTATGTATTTCAATGTAACGAGGGTGTGACATGGTTAACGTTTATTCCTATTTTTTTGTATCAAAGGTGGCGAAGAATAAGGGCCAACTACCAACAGCTCCTGAGTTGTTTCTGCAGACACACTTCAAGGAGCTGCCTGGGAAAGGCACAATGCCAGTAAACCCTACAGCTAAGGAAATTGCGGTAACAAATTCCCTAAACTTAGTTCTTTGGTATCAGGAATATGGTACTGAAAACTTAGATTCTTTGTTTTTTTAATCATTTAAAGCCCTAGACACCTTAAACTATCAACAATTGACATGTTAGAAGGAGTAATGATAACATTAGCTAAGAAATGGAGAAAATGGGCAACATAGAAGGCACTTAGGCCACAGTTGGTACGTTTTTCATCAATATGGCACCCAAAACTTAATGTCTTTGTTTTTGTGGTCATTTCAATCCCTACACACCTTAAACTATGTAAATTTGACATGTTTTGAGGAGAAATGACAACATTAGCTAAGAAATGGAGAAAATGGGCAACATAGAAGGCACTTAGGCCATAGTTGGTGCGTTTGTCATCAATATGGCACCCAAAACTTAATGTCTTTGTTTTTTTGGTCATTTCAAGCACTAGACACCTTAAAATATGTACATTTGAAATGTTTGGATGAGAAATGATAACATTAGCTAAGAAATGGAGAAAATGGGCAACATAGAAGGCACTTAGGCCATAGTTGGTGCGTTTGTCATCAATATGGCACCCAAAACTTAATGTCTTTGTTTTAAGGTCATTTCAAGCCCTAGACACCTTAAACTATGTACATTTGACATGTTTTGAGGAGAAATGACAACATTAGCTAAGAAATGGAGAAAATGGGCAACATAGAAGGCACTTAGGCCATAGTTGGTGCGTTTGTCATCAATATGGCACCCAAAACTTAATGTCTTTGTTTTTTAGGACATTTCAAGCCCTAGAAACCTTAAACTATGTACATTTGACATGTTTGGATGAGAAATGAGAACATTAGCTAAGAAATGGAGAAAATGGGCAACATCGAAGGCACTTAGACCATAGTTGGTGCGTTTTCCATCAATATGGCACCTAAAACTCAATGTCTTTGTTTTTTTTGGTCATTTCAAGCCCTAGACACCTTAAATCATCAGTATTTGACATGTTTAGAGGAGAAATGACAATATTAGCTAAGAAATGGAGAAAATGGGCAACATAGAAGGCACTTAGGCTATAGTTGGTGCGTTTTTCATCAATATGGCACCCAAAACTTAATGTCTTTGTTTTTTTTGTCATTTCAAGCCCTAGACACCTTAAACTATGTACATTTGACATGTTTGGAGGAGAAATGATAACATTAGCTAAAAAATGGAGAAAATGGGAAACATAGAAGTGACCGAGACCATACTTGGTTATTTTTCATGAATATTGTACCTAAAACTTTGTTACTTTGTTTTTTTTTTTTGTCATTTCAAGCACTATAGACCTAAAAATATGTTTAATTGATATGGAATGAGAAAAAAAGCTCATTTTCTAAGAAATGAAGTAATTGGGCTAAGTAGAAGTCACCTATGTCATGTTACTTGGTTTATTTTTCATGAATATGGTACCCCAAGCTTATTTATATAACTTACTAACTCGTTTGTTCCTTTTCATATGTTTATCTTGTAGGAGGCCTACAAAAAGAAGGTTGAGGAGGCTAGCACTCAAAGGATTCAGAAGAGTCTGAATGAGCTGTACTGGGAGACCGTGGGTGGTCGGAACAAAAAAGGACGTGTGAAAGGACTTGGCGGAAGTGCTAACCTTTACTATGGCAGCCAGATGGGTCGACTTTCCACATCTTCCCTGCAGTACACGCCCTCCCTTGTTTCTCAGATGCAGGATCAGATGGAAAACAGGCTGCAGGCTCTTTGGGAAGAAATGGAAGTCGAGATGGAAGCCCGAGTTCAAGCCTCAGTTCAAGCCCAAATGGAAGAAATGGAGAGGAGGTGGGAACATAGGATGATGAGTCGTTTCCCCAATGACACATGTTCCACCGTGCGACCTCCAGCTCGAGATCCCAAGGACGACGACACGGGTAGTGGTGGAGCAGGCCAGGGCACTCCCGCGGTTGCTTAGCTTTAATTTACGTAGTGTTTATTAGTACTAATTTTAGATTACATTATTTGGTTGTACACATTGGAAATAGTATATATATATAATTATTTTTGCATAAAAACCAATAATTTAATTTTGTCGTAATATTAGAAGCGGGAAGTATAGGTATCAAAGGATAGCCATAGGAAAAAAGTCAAAAAGAACAAGTTCTGTCGTTATTTCCGTCGCAAAGTTCCTACGGATTTTAAATCCGTCGCAAATCGTAAAAGGTTCCGACGGAATCATCCGTCGGTACTTTGCGACGGATAATATCCGTAGGAAACTTTGCGACGGATATTTTCGTAGGAAGGTTGCCTTCTTCCTACGGAAAATTCCGTCGGAAGCTTCTAACCTTCCTACGGAATATTCCGTCGGAAGCTATACTTCTTCCTACGGAATTTGGTCCATCGTAAGCTTGCGACGGACTTTCCATTTTAGTCAAACTGAGCTCCGACAAGTTATAATTCGTCGAAAATTCCGTCGGCATGGAAGTTTCTGACGGAAAATCCTTCGGAAGAAGCCAAAATTCCTACGATATGAAATGCGACGACGTGTTCTAAGGGAATTCCGTCGGAAACTGCCATTTTCGACGGAATTTCATGGTTTTCCGAGGGATTTTTTCCGTCATAGATAAGTTGTTTTCTAGTAGTGACCGATTGAAAGAATCAATATTACCTTCTTATTCATTAATATTTTCTTTCATTATACAAATCAAACTACTTTGTAATATCTTCATATATAACTTTATGCAAATATATAATGATAAACGAGTCTTAATTATCAGTCTTGTTGACTAATTAAGTATCGAATACCAAATTGCAAATTTCGATGTCACAACAACTGATCAAATCATAATTATGACACTATTAATTAAATGATCAAATTATAAGCAGACAATAATCTTATAGTAAAACAATAATATATTAATGCACTAAACTTTTATAATCTACTTCGTAATAAACTAGTAAGATCAGTATGGCTAAACTTGAAACATAACATGATATGTATTTATAAAATTAATGAAAATTTGCATATAATATGATGCCTCAATATGAAGTGATGAAGTCTTGGCTTGATATAAAACTTGTTAACCAACAAAAAGTTAGAAAGTAGTATCAAATTTCAAACCAAAATCGTTTAATTGCCCGAATCCAAACGAATCAATGAAAAACCGATTTTTTGAAATCAAAAACAGACCCAAACCGTAATATAGTAAATTTGAAATAAAACCGATTCGAATAATGTTAAATCGTAGAAGAAACGAACCCGTTAACAAACCGAATCAGTTATAAACCGAACTAAAATAAAACTGAACCAAAAAAGAACCGAATTGTTTCTAACCCGAAACCGTTTGAACCGGGATAAAACCGTTTACACTGAACCGTTAACAAACCGCAACCCGTCTGCACCGAACCGTTTACTACCCGAACCGAATTTAAACCGGGATAAAAACCGTTTACATCGAACCGTTAACAAACTGCAACCCGCACACAGAACCGTTTACTACCCGGACCGTTTACAACCCGAACCGAATTTAAACCGTTAAAGAATAAACCAAAACCGAATCGAACCGATAATTATTTAAACCAAACTGAAACCGACATGTAAGACATTTGAACCGATTTCAAATCGACCCGATTTCAAACCGAACCGATTTCAAACTGAACCGAAACCGAACTGTCAAACCATTTTGACAGTACTATATATATATATATATATATATATATATATATATATATATATATATATATATATATATATATATATATATATATATATATATATATATATATATATTTGGAAGGCTCTCGTGAAAATACCTCCTATATGTGAGAACACTCTCATGTTCTAAATTTTTACTCACGTGCTCTAAATCTTAAATGAGTTAAATCAAATATTCCAATTACTCACAAGTTTTAAATCTTAAATTATTATTTGTTCCAAATTTTAACTTATATGTTCTAAATTGTAAGTTGTGTTCTAAGATTTTTAATAATATGTTCAAGATTTTAAATCATATGTTATAAATTATTACTTGTATGTTCCAAACTTTTATTCACATGTTCTAAATTTACTCATATGTTATAACTTTTAAATCAGGTGTTCTAAATTTTACTCACATGTTCTAAATTTTAAGTCAGATGTTCTAATTTTTATTCATATAATTTGAATTTTAAATCATGTTTTTAAAATTTTACTCACACTTTCTAAATTAGAAATAAGATGTTCCAAATTATTACTCACGTAGATGTTCTAAATTTTACTCATATGTTTAAAACTTCAAAATCATGTGTTCTGAATTTTTAATTATATGTTCTAAATTTTTACTCATATGTTCTAAATTTTTACTCACGTGTTCTAAATTTTAAATCAGTTCTCATATAATTATGATTTCTCACATATGGATCTATTCTTATATATATATATATATATATATATATATATATATATATATATATATATATATATATATATATATATAGGAAGGCTCGTGTAAGAACCCTCCTCTATATAAGAACCCAATTTTATATAAGAACCAATCTCAGTCGTATATTAGTTTTGATCCAACCATCTAAAATGATCCTTTAGTAATGGCATTTCTGTAATTCTTCTTTTATGTTCTAATTTTTTTTTCCCCACTCCTATGTTCTAAATTTAGTCTACTTATATTCTATTTTTTTTTTCCTATGTTCTAAATTTAGTCTACTTATGTTCTAAAGGTTTTTTTATTTTTTTTTTTTATATATATTCTAAATATTCTTTTACCTATGTTCTAAATTCTTTTGCCTATGTTCTAAATTTAGTCTATTTATGTTCTAAAGTTTTTTTTTCCTATGTTCTAAATTTTTACTACCTATGTTCTAAAGTATTTTTTTCCTACGTTCTAAATATTTTTTTTTTACATATGTTCTAAAGTTTTTTTTTCCTATGTTCTAAATCTAGTCTACTTATTTACTGCTCATATAACTTAGTTCTAATTTAATTTGTTTTATTGGATTTTTTTAAAAAAAAATAAAATATTTGAAGTTTTTTCACTTATTTATATAGATAACCTATGTAGGAATTGAACCTACATCCTCTATGCATTTGCATAGTGCTCTTCCAATTGAGCTAATAGGTTTTATCATATGTTCTAAATATTATTTGCATATGTTCTAAAATTTATTGCTTAAGCTCTAACTTTTTCAATCTAAGCTTTAAATATATGTATGTTCTAAACTATTTTCCTATGTTCCACATTTTATTGTTTATGTTCTAAATTTTTCTGTCCATGTTCTAAATATATATCCTATATTCAAATTTTTTTTCTATGTTCTAAATTTATTTCCTATGTTCTAAACCTATGTTCTAAATTTTTTCCGTATGCTCTAAATTTTATCCTATGTTCTAAATTTTTTCTACCTATTTTCTATTTTTTTTTTCCGTACGTTCTAAATTTTTTCTATCTATGCTCTAAACTTTATCCTATGTTCTAAATTTTTTCACCTTATGTTCTAAATTTTTTCACCCTATGTTCTAAACTTATTTTCTATGCTCTTATTTTTTTTCCAATATTCTAATTTTTCAATTTGTTTTCCTATGATCTAATTTTTTTTTCAATGTTCTAATTTTCTATGTTCTAAATTTTTACTATGTTGTAAATAATTTTCTTATGTTCCAAATTTTTCCTATGTTCTAAAGTTGTTTGTATATTCTACTCATATGTTCTAAAGTTTTTTCTTTTGAGGAGAGAGAAACTCAACACCAACAAATATTCCGCCTAAAAATACAACACCCAAAACAAAGTTTAGACTAATTAAATCACAAACTATACATTATAACTAATTACTCAAACATAAACTAAAATAAAAAATGCCTTCAAAAAAAATGATGATTATTAGAATTATTACCAAAAAGTTGTCAAGGTCTTGGCGTTCATGAGGAGAGAGAGAGTGATTATGTTGAGAATTAGTAGCATAAGAACGAAGTAAATTATGAGATTGATTATATTGAGCTTCAATTAAAGGCAACTGATCAATTGGTGTTGCAACTCTTAAACAAGCAACATGAGCCGCTAACAGTTGTTCATATAGCGGATGTGTCGCAATTTCAGCTGTCTATGCTGATCGGAAAACGCCATTTCTCCGCCCATCAAACCGCCAAAACCACCACCACTTCCGCCTCCAATCATCCCTAACCCCTGTTCCTGCATTTTCTTTTGAGGAGAGAGAAACTCACAAACGTTTAGATTGAGGAGAGAGAAAGTGAAAGCTATATGACTTTGAGGGTTTGTGATTTGTTTTAATTGTGGCCGTTCTTATCAACCTAATCCTACGATTAAGATTAGTTCTTATATAACTAGAGTTCTTATATAAGGAGGGGTTCTTACCGGATCCCTCCCCTATATATATATATATATAAACATATAAACTGGTTGAGCTTGTGTGATATATATAGTAAATTGGAACAATTGGAAATTAATTTGGTTGAGCTTATGTTATGCATTTATGCAATGTGAGTTGATAATGACGATAAATTCCATTCTTATAACACAACAATTGGCAAATAAACTTGGGTTAGTAGCTCAATCCCTAATAATTAGCAATTTAGACGTGGCAATCTTAGCTTATCTATTTATGTTTTTATTGTTATACAATTCTGTTAACATTTATTTAGTAAATATCCACTATAAAATATTTTTTCACATGCAAAATTTTTATTTTAAAGATTTTTTTTAAATTATATATAAAAGAATTGAGTAACTCCATATTTATGTAAAGGTTGCACATCCATGATTTATTTTGCAAGTGCTCCTATTATTTTGAATTACGCTACAAATGATAAACAAGATTTCCACCTTGCCTAATCATTAACTTCATCTTTAAAATTAGTCTGTGTTCTCCAGACTTTGTCTATAATTAGAAGGCTAATGTTTTCAGAAATACTTTATGATAAAGTTGATAAGTTAAAAAAAAATTAGACATGATTAAAGTTAATAATTCAGATACGATAAGATCGATAAAGGTTAACCAACAAGATCAAATTAAATAAGACAATATAACACTTCTTTTGTCCCCAAATATAGTTCTTATTTTTTTAGGCGCTCCAAAATGTTGTTCTCAGATCATATTTTTTCATTTTTAGACACTATAAAAAGAGCCATGCCTAGTTAATATCCTATATTTACTTACGTTAATATCCACATTTTTTTTATTTCATCTTCTTCCTCTCAGCGCATCACATGATTGTAACTCGAACCCGAACATGACTCGACTTGGAAATGACCCGACATGATTGTAACTCGCAAATTATTGACTTGAACCGAACCCGACTCGAACCCGAGAAGGACCCGACATGGAAATTGATTAGGGGATTTTTATCCACCAATCACCGTCTGACAAGTGGACCAACCATGTTCCGCCACGGGTCCTTCACGAAGGCCAATAGGAGCCTGCCACGTGTCAATCACAGATACGTCCTCTACGGACCAATCAAGGCACGCCACGTGTCCACCCATGCCAAATGGGAAAACCGGCCATCAAGGCCCAATCCAGTCTAGAGGCCCGATCAGCCCTAGGTTTACCTTAAACCTAGAGAGTGGCACGCTTCTCAAGGCTATAAATACTTAATTAATCCTCATTAGTTAGGGGATCGAAAAATCAAGAAATCAAGCAGAGAAGAACAGAAATATTACGGAACACCAACAACCGGCTAATCTCGCTAACGACGCAGATTACCAACATTAAGCACTCTCACCTAGAGAGATCTTAGTACTTTAATTTCCGTATTAATAACTCCTTAATCAGGTACTAACTTGACCGTTGGAGGCGGAGCTCTCAGGAGTCTCCGTTATTTTGCAGGTACAGGCGTCCGGTTCCAGTCTCGGAATTGTAACTCTCCCGCAGGACATCAGAAAACCTCGAAACAGAAATGACTCGACTTGATTATAACCCGCAAATTATTGACTTGAACCGAACCTTACTCGAACCCGAGAACGACCCGACCTAATTATAACCCGCAAATTATTAATTTGAATCGAACCCGACTCGAGCCCGAGAATGACTCTAACTCGTTTTAAATTGTGAAAACTCGAATTAAACCCGACCTATTATTCACCCGACCCAAATGTAACCCGACCTATTTTTTACCCGACCTAAATCCGACCTTAACCCGATAAGATGTATGACCCGACTCAAGCATGACCCAACCCAAACCCGGCCCGCATAGGTTACATCATTAACCCGAATTAATTCGACCCGAGTTGACCCGACCCACACTTATCAGACCCAAACCCAATTGTTTACCCGAATTGACAACTCTATCGCCGCAATCCCTTGACCCTCGTCGCTTCTCACCGGAACCTCGCTGCCCCTCCTCTCACCCGAAAATCATCCCCTCACCCATGCATAACCCTCCCCTTCACCGTAAAACGGCCGGCTGACCTTCCCCCACTTTCGAAACCCTAGCGCCTAGGGTTTCGAGGGTGGGGGAGGGTCGGACGACGAGTTTTACAGGGAGTGAGGGATGTTTTTCGGGGGAGGGATGTTATTAGGATTTTTTCGGGGCCGAGGGATGTTTTTCGGGGGAGGGGAGAGCTGCGCGGCTGCCGGCAAGGGGCAGTGAAGGGCCGACGAAGGGCGGAAAGTGGTAAGGGAAGTTTGGCGAGTGGTTTGGTGAGTGGATATTGGCTGGATGGTGGCTGAAAAAGGTGGAAAGTGAATTAACTCATGGTTGTGTGGTGGTAGAATTGTTTCCCTTTGTTCTTAACACGAACAGTATAAAGAATATAAGGTATTTTTATTCCATTCTTTTTTGTTCCTTTTGTTCATTCTATTTCGTTTACTCCGTACGAATCAAATCAAACGACCCCTAACTGTAATTATAGAAAAAAAAGAGAAGTAATAGTCGAGAGTGCAGAAGATGACATCTAAATTAAAGAGTCGAATGAGATCGACCCAGGTGCGTGACATGCGTCGTCTGTTGCTTGTTAGATTTACACTTTTGTGGCTCATATTTGTGGGACCGCTTTACTGCACATCAAGCACAAAACTGAAAGTAACTACTTTAAATTTTGGTAATTTTCAATTTTCATTTAGCTTACAGAGTTTATCAAAAGCTAGGCTTCTTTCTGTCGCTCTCTTCTTTCATTTCTGGGTATGTATGTATTTTTTACTATTGCTGCAATTTATTATTCAAGTATCTTTTCTACAACTCAGCTCAATTTCTATTTGTTTTTGTTCCTTTTAATTGGATCACTATTTTAGCATTTTAGAAAGAAATTGTAGGAAAAAGTTAGCAATTTTCCAGTATAAACCTATGTTATTTTTGTAATGGAATGGATGTGCATCATTATGCGTAATAACAAAGCGATGAAATTCTGTTTCGCAGCTTGAATATGTCTGCCAAGTATATAGTAGCATCACTCTTAGGATCGTTTGGTGTTTCATATGCGTTTTTTTATCTTGCTGCTGACAAGAAGATTTTTGGAGGCAAGTTGAACAATCTTTACACAACTCTAATGATCATTTTTCAAATTGCAAAATACTAATAAATTGTTGTGCATAATTCAATATTATGAACCAGGCACAACTCCAATGACTGTTTCTAACAAAGAGTGGTGGGAAGAAACTGACAAGAAGTTTCAGAAATGGCCTCGCACGGCTGGCCCTCCGGTGGTCATGAACCCCATCAGTCGCCAGAATTTCGTCGTCAAACCCAGAGATTCCTAAAGCAAGGGTTATAGTGTCATTGTTGTTGTATCAATTAACCTCTTTCTTATCTTCATGTGTAGGTTTTCAATGAGTTACTCATGATGTCAATAAAGCAGGGTTGTTAGTCTATTATCAAGATTGTCGTAAGAATAAGATAATACAATTTTTTTTTTTTGGTTAAACACTTTAAGAGTGGGGAAAGGGTTACGGAATCTCCACCTGAAGGCTATCGGAATTAGGGAATTCCTACCCTCAAAGTATCACTAGTGGAAACTATCCCCATTAATATCACACATATTAACATGAGTTGTTAACATAGTGGCAAAATGGAAAATAAATACCTTGATTTTCGTTTTATATTCATTTAATAAAAATAACGCTGATGTGTACCCCGTTCCACTACAACGGTATGCTAATTCTGTAAAGTGATTGCACAGATGGTAAAGTTAATGTCATTAGCTTTATCTTCTCTGACAAACTCAAGGAGGAGAGAGAAACCATTAATTCAGCCAAAGAAAACTATCAAGAATTCCTTTGAAATTATCCTTGGGTCCATCGAAAACAAAATTCAAGAAATAATTTGGATCTTACTACTCTTGATTGTATGGTATGTCATGGTTCCATAAATCATAGGTATATGTAATCGAATTATCAATTCCGAAAGAAAAGATCAAAAACCTTGCCCCTTTGACAATGGAGGTATGAAAGAAAGACCCACCTTCTCTCCTTCACAAGCATTCTCTGATTCTCTCCTCTGCTCATTAACTTCCACCGTCAAGCTAGACGATCCGCCTCATACTCAAACAACAAGGTGGTAGTCTCAAACACTACCATTTTTGCGGCTTCACCGCGAAATTAAAAGAAAACCCTAAGAAAAATGGAGAAATTAAGGGTATGGTAAATCCTAAAGGGGTAGGTGTTTCACTCCCGTACTGTTTTCTCCATTGAAGATGAGTTTTTCTAATGAGCTTTTCCATCTCCATTAACATTAGCTGTGTTAAATAGAGTTATATTTCGCCAACGAGAAAACGGGGTGAGCTGGGTGTGGCAAATGGGATATTTAGTGGTCCCGCATTTCTTTCCAGACTTACCCCCATATATTCAGTGCGTAAAGACTTGGACACCCTTTTGTTAATATAGGATATCAACTTGGAGGATGATCCAACGGTGCAATTTCCGACAACAGGCAAATTACAGAAGTTTGCCATAGAAAATCCGAAAATGAAAAACGTCATTTCTCTCTCTGTTTTTGTGTGTGTTCAGCTACTAGCTGCCTCACTTGGTCAGATGAACATGATATGTGAATGTAAATAAGACAAATCAATGATATTAAAATTTAACGGTGACGCTCAACACTCTTAACAGCCGTTACATGAAGGCACTCCCGTTACATGAGGGCACTCCTACTGAGCTGCTGAGTAATTGTCATCATTCACATATGTGGACATGTGGACGACTTCTGTTCACATTATTTACAAATGAGCCATTTTGATTTGTTTGTTAAATTGATCAAGAAGATCAATGGGGGCGCCCTCGATTTGATCCCACAACCTCTTATCTTGGGTGTGCTTGTATGTGATTATTCAAACATTGATGAATACTACAAAGTACTTGGCAAGTGTTACTTAAAATCTTCTACCAATCTCATTTGCATCACAACCCTCTATGGCTTACTACATATCAAAAATCTATAATCCCAATTCTTCTAAAATAATCCTACCAAGTAGGGGAAGGGCCCTGAGGCCTAAGGGGGATGAATGTATGTGACTTGCCCCTACGACAAGGGATGGATGTATGTGACTTGCCCCTACGACAACAGAGAGATTGTTTCCGATTGAACTTGACTTGCCCCTGCTTCAGTCAAAGAGCAGTCGGCCAAGAAACCTTCCACTTCACTGAAGAGGAAGCCAGTTCAAGGGCGAGAGGCGACTCCTCATCCTAAATCCAAGAAGCGGGAGCCACCTGCTCTTGATTTCACAAAACTCCGTTATCCTACGGGAAATAGGAAACCGGTTCGTCATATTCAGGCGGACGGGTCAAAGCAAACGTTCACAGATGCTCGGCTCCTGCTAGAGCAGAAGAAGAGTGACCGATTATCAGAGTCGGCTTCTACTTCAAATTTTCAAGAAAGTTTGCGAAATGCCTCGATGAGGCATACTCAGTCGTACCATGAAAGTCAGTCAGGCGGCACCTCCCGTCAGTCCGGCTTTCATAGTGCCCAGGCGGTACCAAACTTACCATTTGTGCCGCAACAACAGTATTTTATGCAGCCACCTCCATTTGGTGGACCTGCAGCAAAAAACGTCCAACCTATGGACTGGCAGCTACGACTGCTTAGACTTGGTGAACAGCCGTCGGCCTTCTCCAAGGAAATTACTGAAGCCGCTCAGCCGGCCAAAGTAAAAAATGTTCTAGTAGGCGCCTATGACGGCACTACTAACCCAGAAGACCATCTGATGGCATTCACCAACCTGATGTACCTTCAAGGGTTGGATGATCCCACTTGGTGCAAGTGTTTCCCAGCGACTCTCAAGGGAATTGCACAGCAATGGTTCGGCAACCTGCCGACTGGTTGTGTAAACAGCTTCAGGACGCTTGCTTACTTATTTGCCTCCAACTTCGCTATGAACATCCCTGCGAAGAAAACGACCCTTGATTTGGGAACAATTCAGCAGGGCGAGAAGGAGGGGCTTCGTTCTTACATCAGGCGGTTCAACCTGATGAGAATACAGATTCAAGGGTTACCGGATGAGGTAGCTTATACTGACTTTTTTAGAGGTCTCAAAGACGGGTCTACCTTCAAATTTGATTTAGTTCGAAAAAGGGTGGCGACTCTTCAAGAGGCCTTGATTGAAGCAGAAGCCTATATACAGGCGACTGATCTGTGTACGATAAAACAGTCGGACGGGAAAAGGTTCGACAAAAGAGAGGGACGACAGAAACAGTCGTCCAACAAAGATGAGAAAAGAAAAGAGGTCTGGGCGGCTGATTCCTCTAAACAGCCGGCCCAGAAAAAGAAAAAAGAATTCAAACCATACTCCCCAAAGTATGTGTTTAACAAGGATAACCAGTTTATCCTAAAAGAAATAAAGGGACGGTTCTCAATTGAGAAGCCGCTCCCCATGAAGGGTTCTGCAAACAACCGGAACCAAGATAAAATTTGTGCTTATCATGATGACGTTGGTCATCACACCAATGACTGCATCAGTCTCATGCGGTACCTAGACCGCTTGGCTGAGCAAGGTGATCTTGACACTTATGTCAAGAAATCTACGGGGAACACTTCCTCAAAAAAGCAGTCGGCCAAAAAGAATCAACAGGCCGACAGTTCTGATACAGATGATGCAGTCGTCTACACCATTGCAGGCGGCTTCTCAGGAGGCGGCCCCACTATTAGGGGCAACAAAGATAATATAAGGCGGTTAGATGTAAATTCCGTTCACCAAGAACGGCCGTCCAAATATATATTTCCTGAGATTGTCATCACTGAAGAGGATCTAGGAGGGGTAAGGGGGCCGCATGACGACCCTCTCGTTATTGAATGTAAAGTGGCCAACCAGAGAGTTGGCCGAATCCTCATAGATACCGGGAGCTCCTCAGATCTCATCAGCAGCAAATGTCTGTCAAAACTGAAATATCAGACGGACTGCATACATCCGGCCTCCCACCCTTTAATAGGGTTTGGAGGAGGAGTCGTCCACCCATTGGGACGAGTAGATTTACCCATTCGCCTGGGCGAAAAAGGGGAAGGACGACACATGGTAGTCCGGTTCCTAGTAGTAGAGGAACTCTCGGCCTACAACATGATTCTGGGTCGACCAACCCTGAATAATTCCAAGGCTGTTATAATCCCGTCTCTTATGCTGCTTAAGTTTGAAAGGGATAATGGAACAGTCGGCTCCCTAAGGGGAGATCAGAGGATGGCCCGAGAGTGCTATCTCTCGGATGTCAAGCCCACTGTTGTGGCCACTGGGTCAAGTGGAGAAATTTGGTCTTGCACTCTTCATGGCTGTTAAAAAATTGAAGCCCTACTTTTTGGCACATGCGGTCGTCGTGTATACCGACCAACCAATCAAGCGGCCCCTTACCATCATGGAGTCGTCAGGACGAATGATCAAATGGGCCATAGAAATACAGAGCCTCGAAGTTACTTTCGAGCCTAGAAAAGCAGTGAAGGGGCAAGCCTTTGCTGACTTTATTGTAGAGATGACTCGTCCTCATGACTCTCAAGTTCCAGACCAAGTCTGGAAGGTATATGTGGACGGAAGCTCTACTTCAAATGGTTGTGGAGCAGGCGTCGTATGTCAATCTCCAGAGGGCGACAGGTTCGAGTATGCTCTACGCTTCAGTTTTCAGGCTTCAAACAATGAGGCAGAATATGAAGCTTTACTAGCCGGGATCCGCATGTGCAAGGCGGCAGGGGCAAGAAAAATAGACGCCTGTTCTGATTCACAATTGATAGTGAGTCAGTACAATGGCGAATACGAAGCAACCCATCCGGCCATGATCAAGTATTTACAGGCGGTCCGACAAGCAGTCGGCTCCCTGGAGGATTTCCATCTGATCCAAGTGCCGAGATCAGAAAACAACCAGGCAGATGCACTGTCAAAATTAGCATCATCCGCCTCCTCCGATACTCCTCGAACTGTTTTTTGGGAAGTAATGGAGAAGAGAAGCATCGAGGAAAACGCTATTGGAATCCTAGACAGAAGCTCAACCTGGATGGATTCAATCAGGGCATATCTGACAAACGGTAAACTGCCGGATGATCCTCAACAAGCGGCAACACTGAAAAAACGAGCCTCTTGTTTTGAGATGATACAGGGAGAACTTCACAAGAGGGGGTACCTTCAACCCTTCTTAAAGTGTGTTACTCCTGAAAAGGGACGAGAGATACTAGATGATCTTCACTCTGGTTTCTGTGCTTCCCATATAGGTGGTAGGATGCTTGCTCAAAGGGCAAGGCGGCAGGGCTACTTTTGGCCTACTTTGGAAGCAGATGCAATGGAGATGGTGAAAAAATGTGACAAGTGCCAAAGGTTTGGCAAATTAATTCACCGTCCGGCTACTGACCTCACTACCATTCACAGCCCACTACCGTTTGCTAAGTGGGGCATGGACATTCTGGGTCCATAT